TTTTTATTTAGTAACAAAAAAGTACAATTCAAACAGCATTGTACTTTTAATCCACTTTCCTAAATTAAATGTGGAAACAGCTTTATCCCACCGTCACTAATGCAATGCCTGTTGTTACACAAATAAAACCACGATAACCATAATATTTGAAATTAAAAAAATGCTAGAAGTTGCTAGAGATAGAATGTCTTTTTATTTTAAAACCCACCCACTACACCTTGCATAAGTCACAATGCAAATAAATTAATTATAGGTAATACCAAGGTAGTGCAATCTGAAGTTTTGTCAGGTATGTTACTCGAATAAACACTGAAAGCATTCAAGCGTAGGACATTACAACTTAGGGTTCCTTAGATCGTATTTGTAATATTAATAATAAATATAAATACACCGAGGTGTGCAGCCTCCGCAACAACTTCCTGTCGAGATCGGATGAATCAATCTACACGGACGTCATTAGTTGTGATAAAGGACTTAATCCTTAGTCAACGAGCAATGGCAGAACCCGGGATTACTTAGCGTTTTCGACCGGGAGGCCGTAAAAAAGTAAAACGAATGCTCTACGGGAGGTTCTACAAGGCTCTACACGAACCTTTTGTAGATACTGTTGCCTCCCTCAACTCGCTACGTTTCGGTGACCTGTTTGGGGAAATCGAAGGTTTTGTCTGTGATACAGGATCAGGTTATTAACACGAATAACTATCTACAATGAAATACATCCTAAGGGATGGCACGGGGAGTCGCTACGGCATGTTATCTCCGGTTGTTCCATGCTTTCTAACTCTGAGTATCTGCATAGACACAACCTAGTAGCCAGAATCCTATACCAGGAATTCGGTCTCGTAGATTGGAAACTGCAGTACTACAAGTACTATCCGGAGGCCATGCTCGATAATGACCACGCCAGGCTCTATTGAGACCGGCCCATCATCACGGACAGGACGACTCTCTCCAAAAAAACTTGATATCAAAATCAAAAATCTTTATTCAAATAGACGCTTGCGCGATCTTATGAATCGTCAAATTTTACATAAAAAATTATACATATAAGTTCGTAAGGTACCGCCGGTTCGAAAAGCAGTTTCTGTTGAGAAGAGACCGGCAAGAAACTCAACAGTTGCTCTTTTTCAAAAATATCATATATAAAATACCGGTATAATAGTCTTATTCTAGCCTACGTGAGTATCAACAGTATTAACTCCACACATTGGCGTCGTCAAGATATTCCGCAATAGTGTAATATGCTTTAACCATAAGTTGATTTTTGATTTTACGTTTAAATTAATCAAGCGATATCGTGTTGATGGGCCGGGCACAGTCGCGGGTATTTTTGGTTGACATTACCATTCCATATGACGAGAATCTTGTGAAAGCTGAAACAAATAAGAAGACCAAATATCTGGGGCCGACTTAAGAGGTGACCGACATGTGGGGTGGTTTGTCGACCAAAATTATCCCTATAGTCGTCTCTGCGAATGAGTTAATCCTAGTCAGCCTCTCCGAACATCTGAGCTCCAATGCAGAAGGCGTTGCTCCTAGATACCACCCTTATTGTCCGCCGGTTTCTCTCCGTTTCGCCCTAACCCTCGGCCGCTTGGTCTACCCTGACTGAGGCTTCCGTCTGGTTGGGTCCTATTTATGTATGTATTAAGTACAATATTTATATCTATATGTTTATTTTAATTTATAATATTTATTCCATATATGCAATATATACCGATATGTTTATTTTTATTTATAAACCCAACCAGATGAGAAAACGACTAAATATCCCCATAACAGAAATACAAGCAAGCAAATGTTGTGGTCTTAAATTATCATATTACTCATCAACGTATTCGTGATGTGGGCTGTAGTTCGTGTGACAAAGATGAAGTATAAAATGCAAAGCTCCTTTGGAAAGTTGACGTTGATATACGGCGTGAGAACATTTTAAGAGACGGATTTTTGTGAAAATATAAATTATGTGGTATTTATAAAACATTGACTAACAAAAGGCAGCTTGAAGAATTCTACAGAGAAGATTTCTAGACATTGGAAAAAGCAGGTGATAGTAGAAAAAATCATAGTTGTATTTTTAAGTGTATTTTTAGGATGTGTTTTTTTTTTCGTAACTGATATTAGCTCTTTCAGTCTGGGGACTAGCAGGTGGCTAATTTGGGCCATTTTTCAAACTTGTGGTTTAAGGTTTGAAGAATGGCCCAAATTGTGCTGTGTATTATGTGACAAGTCACGTTATGAAGCTTTTTCATATAGCATGTCTTACTTATTAAGATCTATTACCTCTTACTTACCCGAAAAATTGAGAACCAAGCAATATCATTATACACAAATACGAGGTAGATATGACACTATCGCGTTGATACTAAAACACTTAAATTACGGCTTTCCGTATAATCCGTTCCATGTCATCTGTCACACACACTTATATAATATATAAGTGTGTGTGACAGATGACATGGAACGGATTATACGGAAAGCCGTAATTTTAATTATGTAATATATATGTCATATAGTTATGAAAAGCAGAACAATTTTTAAAAGACAGGTGGAATGAACATACGTCATCCTTATCTATTGGAATCGAGAGACTTTAGGTAAGCAACAAGTTAACAACTATGGTAATTTTATGTTTTTATGTTTTAATATAATTGAGTTTAAGAATACTATTAATAATCTAAAAAAAGTTTTCATATACTGCTCTACAGTATTGTGGGATTACTTATAATGAAAAGAAAATAAAAATGGTATTTATTCGTTTATTCGCTGCCATCAAGAACGATACATCCAACGACAATTTAATATTTATTATACTAAAACTGACGCGAATCAAAGGCGGAGGGACTTGACACATTATCTATTGCGATCAAAAAACTGGTTCTAAAGGAAACACCTGGAATGATAGAAAATAAACCTTATCTAGTAGACACAGACCCCGTACGTTACAGTGGCTTTTGTTGTAACAAAGTTCGGAAAGTATATTCCCCCAAAAGATGAGTGTCTCTCCGTCTATGATTTCATTTATTTCGTGAACTACAGTTGTAATGTTCGTTATTTTAACTTATAAACACATTATCACAGAACAATTTGATAGTGCTAGAAATTGACCATACGCTTTAAAAGGTGGACGCTCACAAGACAATTAACAAAACGATATACAACAACAATATACGAGAACTAATAAGATTCGTAAAAAATGGGAGACTCGTTTAGAGTGCGTAGAAGTTTCGTTCATCTTCATCATTCACAAATGACTATAGTCTAAGGGATTTTGTGTAATATTAAAATTTTAATAAACTGTACACTGCTGTGAAATACACCAATTTTCATAAATGTGACGCCTCCCACTTTTTATAATGAAAATCAATTGATAAAATTGCACAATAATAAGATTAGACATTGTACTACCTAATTTTTTAGTGTTTAATACATTTACACATTAATGAATAATTTATAGGTAAGTTTTACATTATGTAGAGTTTGGCACAAAAAATATAATCGCTTAGCCCGCTCGATTTTTTAAAATGTTTAATCTCATTTTTCCGGTTTGATTTTCATTTCCTATATTTCCTGGATATGATGTTTTGACATCGTGATATCATAGTGTCCTATTCTACGATAATTTTAAATTTGATATAGATTAGTTTTAATTTCAAAACTTTTCAAAGTCATTAGTGTAATAAAACAACATTAACTTTACCACTACATCCGTTGAGCAGTTGACGACTAACAGTCGATTGGGCTTAGTATTTCATCAAGTGCCTCTTAATTTAGAATAACAGTTTAATAATATAAAGAATTTACTAAAGTTAATAACCGAAAGCTTAGAAATTAGATCTTGAAACAGAACATTGCTTATCAACTTATAGCCACGACACAACATAGACTTAATGATATTAACGTATGCTTCTAGGCTTTTTTCTCCACTGTAACAGCCAAATGTGTATTAGTTCAAGTTTGATTTATGTACTTTAATTAGCGTTTTTAATTTATTACGTTTCGTAAGTACTAATATTTTTTTAATAGATTCCACAATCCAAAACACTTCTTGAAACAGCATTGAGGTCTTTTTATCTGGTCTGTTTATGTTGACTTACCGTATTTTCGACTTTCTTCCAGAAACGTCACCGAAAAGTCTATCTTATGTTCTTACGAGATAATAATAATAAATATTGTAAGTTATTTCTATTTACACCTTGATTTCTTTTATCTTTTACATTTTTTTCTAATTTTTAATAAATAAGTATATATATTTATATAACTTCTGTCACAATGTACGTAAATATTATTACAAATTTTATATTAAATAAGAATATACAAAAACATCGAAACCGGTGCTTGATAATTATGAGAATAATTTTCATTGCATTGCGAAGTGCTTAAATATTCTATTTTTTTTTTTGTTTAAATGATTTTAAAATAACTAAAAATCGGTGACGCATTATTTTCTGAACGCAAACGATTATGCAAATATTTCTTTTCATTACGCAGTGCATTAGGCATTGAGTTATTGATATCAATATTAAATATATGGTTAATATTTAATTATAGTATATTAGTTATTTGTACCGTTTCGTTTTAAATGCCATTGCCCTTAGTATTAATTTTTTTACCGTTAATTATAGACTTAGGGCTCACCCGTAGTAAAAAAAAATACAATTTACAGTACACTTCTGTTTAATTTACACAAATGATTAAAAATAAGTATAATATCTAGGGAAACATGATTTTATGTACATACACACATTGCCTTACAAAATTTAAAAGCTATTAGTCTGATCAAATAAAATATTTTATATCATTGTTAATCGCAACTTGCTTACTAAGTCTGTTTGCAGTAAGTCTTATGTTTCTTGTTTAGAATGACTTTTGTTAGTAACCTATTCTTGATAATGCTGGCGGTGTGCAAATTGTAATGGTTGAAAAGATTAACTATCTAACATCTAATATCCGCGTTAATACATATACCAACTCTTTTACATTCTCGATCAAGTCAGCTAGACTTTATACAAGGCACTGTATTTCGAAAATGTACATATTATAGTACTCAAAATAATCATAAGAATTGCCGCTTCCACCCCTGATGAACTGGAACCTGTAACGACAAATGGCATAAAAATTGACATAGTAGTGATGTGTGAAAAAATAGATGGCTAGATGCAAGAAAATTTCACTTAACAAGTGGTGAACTGCCAGCTCGCTTGTTAATACAAACGTTAAAACATTTATTTATCATAGAAAGAACATTGCATAGTGCACTTAAAACGTGATAAACATATAGAAGAAATCTTAAATATATATATGACACAAACAACAGTCTCAGACGGGTACCAGAGTTTATAAATCCAAGCAGTTAGTGATTTGTATAATAGGCGTTTTTGGAACAACGCAATGTTTTCACATCCTATAATTTCCTTAGGCAGTTTGCTGCGCTCCCAAAAATTGAATACTTTTTTTTCCTATACCAATTCTACATGTTGTTAATTCGAGATTATGTCAATTTCGGGTTAAATATCGATGTGATATTGTGACCTTCTGACATAAGAAAGTACAGCAGAATCAAAAGCTGACTTAGTTCTGTAGATTAAGTCTGTCGATATAAGCGTTCAAGCTTTAGATACTTTAAAATAAGACATTAGTTTCTGAGTGATGATATACTTATTTAATTTTATTCAGCTAACTTCAAAAGTAATAATGTACTGACCTAAAGCGGTGAACATCGATAGATGGGGCGAACGTGCTACTACCAGGCTGAAATTTGTGGATCTAACGTAAGGGGGCCTTGTAGGCTGTACTGCTTCGCATCTTATTGCAATTTCTCCTTCCGGAATGTTTACCCGCAATCTCATCGGCCTCCAACTCGATTGAAGCCCATACTCGTCGGAACCTGAAGTTTCTGTGTTGTCGATCATCCACGGTTCGCTCTAAAATTAGGTACATGAATGAATGAAATATACTTTATTGTACACAAACAACGAATATTGAATAATCAACAAAAAATAATACAAAACTGTACAATAAGCGGCCTTATCGCTAAAATTTCTACTTCAACGTGTTACTTGTGTTTACTGTCTAATCATTTCCGTTTAAACAAAGTAATTTGCATACTTAACCAAAAATTAACAAAACTGTTTTGAAATTTGTGTAAATATAAATATGACTGTTCCAGATTTAGTAACATGAAACTCCGATATCGATAATATTTGATACTAGACAAAATCATTGAATATTAAGGGTTCTGGTTAAAAATCTTCCTTAGTTAACGATTTTATCTCTACTTTGCAGCATATGAAAATATAAAATTTACTTGTAATATTCTCGGTTTATATCATAATATGAAAAGAATACCTTTACTTTCACTGACCTTTTCTGTTTTTCCATCAACATACCACACTATATTAGCGGGGGGCATAGCGGGCGAAGCAGAACAATTAAGTAGTACATCTTCCCCAAACTGCACACTTCCTAATGCTCCAGTTATAACCGGATCCTCCTTTAAGGTTACTGTTTAAGTAATTGCAATAACAAAAAACGTTAATGTTTGTATAGATATATAGATGTTTCTATATCTATTTATGTTTATGTCTCATTATAAAATCAAAAGAATCCGTTATCAAATAATATTTACTTAAATTCAGCCTTACGTTTTTTAATGCAGGATTCTGTATTTAAGTTTTGGCTTGCATGGTACATATATTTCATGTTCACTTACCGGCCACGGTTAAATATTTCGTTTGATTGACCACGGCAAACCGTGGTCCCTCAGTAGATACTTCACACGTAAAAGATATCCGAGTGTTGTATCTTTTTGGTAGAATGACACTGATTGAACAGCTGTGCGAGTTGCAAGCGCCTCTGGACACACCTCCAGCCGACGTATTAAATGTCCTGGTTGGAGGCTATTAAAAAAATTATATAATTAACCCAAAAAATCGGCAGGGATAAATTCAATAACAAGCACTCAAGCTTAAATCGCAATTTTAGTCAGTATATAAATGTCTAGAACTGTCTGCACCACCTAAATACAATAACAATACAAAACATATAAAACAAACGAGGCAAAGTGAAAGAAAACAATAAAGGAAGAACTGAAGAAAAACAAGTACCTATGTTTTTCAACTTTATTAGCTTGGTTGCAACCAAGCTATTTTAAAGGTTTTGACCTTAAATAAAACCCTTTTAACTAGATTTGTTTGGTGATTCACAATTCGAATAGAAAACTCAATAATTGGGTTCATAAATCTTGTAAAATAATGATAGTAAAAGAAGAAATTGATACGGAAAAAAACATTAACAGATATATAATTAAATACAATACTATAAGTCGCTCTTGATTTCAAGCTATCTATCATTTTTGCAAGCCATGAGTCCGATGAATGTTTAAAAGTCGATAAGACTTTGAGATGCAGTAACAGCATATCTTGAGATAAAGAATGTCACTCACTTGCTGCTCCGGCGTGTAGCGAAAAATCTCATTGTTGTCTCGATACCATTTAACGGAGTGCAACGGCGGATCCCCTTTCTCATTAACATAGTGACATACGAGGTCAGCGCTCCACCGGGGATCTCCATATTGAGGTACTTCAAGAAACGTAATGTTGTGTGCCGTAGCTATAACTGTAAAGAAAAGTTGTTCGCTTTGATAACAAGATTTTCACGACTCGAGTAACTTGGCCATAAAAATGTGGGATATCTTCGGTATGCCGGCGGAATACATTACGAGTATATCAGGCGTTGCTCTAAGGCATGTCTGGGTCTTACTGGCTGTTTAAAACAAGTTATATAAAAAATTAAAACGTAAACTGCTATTTCAATATTTGGGAATAAATCATTATTTTTTTGTGTCTTCAGGTTGATTCGAGAATGGTTTAGATTCTACAGTTAGATTCTACGACGTATTTACAGGACAGCTTGTGTCCGGTCCGCTAGTATTAAATACACAGATTGACGTTACAACCGTGACAATAAATGAACAGAGGTCTAACACTACTTGCCAATAATCATAAAAAATATAAACGTTAAAATAAATCCATAATTAGAAAAATATATTTTTCAAACAAACTAATTAAATAAAAAAGAAACAAAATTTGTAACATTCTATACAACTACAACTGACTGATTCATACATTCAGAGCCTTTCTTCATTCGTTTCCACAGCGTCGCATTGCAAATCTCTCCTTCTAACAATATATTTTATCTGTTTTAAATTCATTGAACCCATTCATATGCTTTGTGACCTTTACGTTACAGTTTTATACGTAAGTGTGTTCAAAAATTGTTTTTTTTTGGAAAATTAAATAACTCTGTAAATAATGATGTTTAAATAATGTAAATATTTAATACAATTTTAAAATGTTATCCTTTCTATTTGTGTTCATTTATTGTCACGGTTGTAACGACACGCTGTATCGCTGTATATGATGGCCTGCTATAAACGCTCGACAGGACAATGTAGCCCTTTTGAAATTGAATGATAGAAGTCGGTAATTTCACTATATTATATGTATTCTTTTTTACTTGGTTCATCTTAATAAGGAGAGAAATTGTTAAGTGCTGTGTCACTTTAAAAATTTAAATTTTAAATAGCAATAGCGACATCTCGCGTTCGACCTCTTATTGTAAAACGATATTTGAAATTGTTTGTTTGCTGTAAAGGATATCACAATAGATGCGCCAAGCATTGTTTAAAATGACCAACAACCAATTAAAAAAAAATGTAGATACTATATAAGCTGAATCACGCGTGTGGCACTAACAAGATTGGTGGCTAAGTATATCTCTATATTACTATACTGAGATATAATACTAAATATATAATACTAAGGGGCGCGACAAGCGGACCATGATATCGACTGACATCAACTGTATTAATAGTTCGCTGGTAGCGGTGAGAATTGCCGCAAGACTCGGGTGTACCTTGTGTATGCCATGAGTAGTTTCGCAGTACTCGTAGGCGAGAACGAACTATAGTACATTGACACTATTTGTGGTCGTAGTGTTGGAAGGGTGAGGCCTCTGTTTGGTCAAGAATACTTGCGTCCTCTTCCTCAATCGGGTCGACGAGGCAGTCACGTTAGGATTGGTTAATAATAAATTGCGATAACCACCAGAGAATCGAGATGATTTTCAGTTTTATTAATGAAATAGTTTTTAAACTAGAAGTTTAGCGTAAGAAATGTTTAGTTTAATAACACACATATTTACGCAAACACCAAAATAAACTAGGCATTTATTTTGGAGAAATCACTTTACATCGTAAAAACTATGTTGCTTACTTACTACAAATAAATAAAGACGTTTTGAGGAAATCGTGAACGTGATATTTACCGCTGTCCGTTTTTGAAAAGATTCTTGACATAATTATGCAGTCGGGTATTTCAAATGAGTTCTTTCCAAAACCTTTTGTTGAACATTTCACTGCTTTAATTAAAACCACCCTGTATTACTTTTAATTTTAACTTTCGCTGAAAGGTATTGTGAAGACAATAAAGTCTTCCAAGTAAGTTGAAATAAAATAAAATCATATAAAATAAAGTAAACAATACGCATGAAGAGTGAGATATAAGAATATACGAAATGTTATAATGCTTTCACAGACTGAATTTCTCGGATACTCTTTTTTATTTTAGATCTTTCTGGTCAGAAGTATCCTATCTGTTAATCCGGCGCTGGTCTTTTTCCGCGTAATCATTTTGGGGTTTAATGACATGTTCACCTGAAGGTCATCGCAGCGAAATTGTATCCTAGATGAGATGGTTGCAAGCAACTGAATTTTTAACATTTATTGTTACTAGAATACAAATGCCATATGTATGAAAATAAACATTCCTGTATAATATAGTTCTAACAGCCAATAGTTACATTAAACCATCTTATTTAATAATTGGCACGCAAAAATTCAAAATCATGTGTTATTGTCATACATCACTAATATAAAATCAACCTCTACAAAATTAATATTTATACCTCCTTGTTAACTTTGCAACAGCAAAGAAATGGATCTTTCAGAGTTCGGGTATTAGTAACTACGTAGGTACATATATGCGGACATAATTAATAAGCATAAGTCAATAAATTATCTTGAGCGCATGCCTCACATAAAAATGTTAAGTTTTTGGAAGGTAAATGCTATTTTTTCGCAATGTACATAAATAGGTCTAATACACCTACCTTAATTTATTTTAAACGTTAAAAATCTTATTTTAGGATGCTTCATCACATATATACATTCGTTTATAATCAACTACTGTAAGGGTAAGTTAGGAATATATTTTAAAAGAAATAAAAAAGTATATTTAAAAAAATTTTTTTGCCTTTATTTTGCTTTTAGATTGCTGAGCATTTGTACTTTAAATCGAAAGGAGTGGGGTTCTAAATGGAACTAAAAGAGCTCACTCAGAAGTGTGTAGCATTAGATCGAAAGGAGTGGGGTTCTAAATGGAATTAAAAAAGCTCACTAAGAAGTGTGTAGCATTAGATCGAAAGGAGTGGGGTTCTAAATGGAACTAAAAGAGCTCACTAAGACATGTGTAGCATTAAATCGAAAGGAGTGGGCTTCTAAATGGAACTAAAAAAGCTCACTAAGAAGTGTGTAGCATTAGATCGAAAGGAGTGGGGTTCCAAATGGAATTAAAAAAGCTCACTAAGAAGTGTGTAGCATTAGATCGAAAGGAGTGGGGTTCTAAATGGAACTAAAAAAGCTCACTAAGAAGTGTGTAGAATTAGATCGAAAGGAGTGGGGTTCTAAATGGAATTAAAAAAGCTCACTAAGAAGTGTGTAGCATTAGATCGAAAGGAGTGGGGTTCTAAATGGAATTAAAAAGCTCACTAAGAAGTGTGTAGCATTAAATCGAAAGTAGGGGGGTTCTAAATGGAACTAAAAAAGCTCACTATGACGTGTGTAGCATTAAACCGAAAGGAGTGGCGTTTTAAAAGGAAATAAAAAAGCTCACTATGACGTGTGTAGCATTAAATCGAAAGGAGTGGCGTTTTAAATGGAACTAAAAAAGCTCACTAAGACGTGTGTAGCATTAAATCGAAAGGAGTGGGGTTCTAAATGGAACTAAAAAAAGCTCACTAAGACGTGTGTAGCATTAATTATCGGTCTATAAATTGATCGGTCTATACCCTTACAATGACATATACTGTGCAAACCTCATACAACTTTTATCAATCGTATAAATAGTATGCCAACTTTTAATAATGTTTTCAAAACAAAACTTGAACCTTATAATTTTCTTAGCTTCATTTATATCTCACAGTTGCCGGCTTATAATATAATTTCGCCCGCAAACAGACGCCTTTGTGCTACAATGGGACAGTAATAGCCCATTATTTAACTTTATAGTTCGTAATAAGCCCCGACGAAGCCGCTCGTGAGATCTAGCAAGTGCTAAAGCGAAGCCTATTTCAACATCAAGGTTTTTGGTGAAAAAGTGCAGAAAGTTTTATTTAAAACTATAGACGTTTACTGTGAATGGTGTTACGAATTAAAGAAGAGGCAATATTGAGATAAGATTTTGTTTAACTATTGTATTAGTAGGCAATTTTTTCTGGTTTTATGAAAAAAAAATCAAACACTATGCCATGGCACCGCATGCCTCGGTAATTCGAAGCCCATCAAAAATTGTTTAACTCCAAAAAATAACAAAAATTTTTTTTGTTGAAAAATGACTTTGTTTACAACTGTTAACGGGTCTTTAAAAATTTCGAGCTTCTGAAGAGGGCTATTCTTGATTAATTCATTATATTATTTAAAATAAACTGATATAAACTTACTTCATCGTTTTTATATAAGTTTTATGAGTGTTGTTGCAACTATTTAAATATGAGACATACTAGTGTATTACCATGATGACATGTTTTGACTAACTTGGAAACTTATCATTAAATTGTTAGCGAACCTAAGCCTCAAAAACGTTAATTTCACATAGATAACTTTAATTATTTATGCCCAAAAGTTCTATCTGAAACGTGTGCATATTCTTTATTAATAATACAATTGTTACCGTTTATCCGTTTTACTTCAATATGCACTTTATTTCATTAAAAACTAGCACAAAAATATTTTACGAGGATCCTTAGTGAATGTGGGAATTGCTCTTACTTATAAATGACCTTGCTATGGTTTATTATGATTATTCAGATTTACTCTGTTGCAGGCTCTATCTCTGAGTTTGGATGTAATTCATTTACTTCCATTTGACACAGAGATCAAGTCTTAATTCTTTTAAGGGAATTGTTATTTTAAGTCGATCATAAAAAAACGTATATTTTATAAATACTATTATAAGATTTATTATATTATTTCGCTATAAGCAATCACATAGTGTTTCATTTAAATGTGGAATTATTTAATTCTATTTAGTATATTAATATAATAAATAGTTATGTATAAATTCGTACCACATAAATTCAAAGAACACATATTGCATTAAAAAACAAATAGACTACATCAACATATTGTGCAATCGACCATCAATGTAAAATTTTTCTTATAACGGCACAATTAACAACTAAGGCTCCTCGACGTTTTATTAAGCAATCTCGGACACTTTCTAAATCTGTAAGACAACAACGCTAATTCGAAATATGAAGGCTGCATCGCCACTTCCCATCGTGGGATGGCCATCAAGAGCCGGCCAGTTTCGAATAAAAAAATACTACTGCAATTGTCTTTTAATCAGTATTGGAGCAATATATAACATAATTAGATTCAATGAAAAATGGCCAAAATAGATTTTTCAAGTTAATAATGCTTTTTTTTACGACATGAGATTTCTTACGTAATACAAAGTGATAATACGCGAATAAACAGTTAGCACAAGATAACCCCAGGCTGCTAGATGCAGACATGGATCGTGACGCTTTACGATTATTCCCTAAAAGTATTGATCCAACTAATACTACTAATAATCTTTTGACCAAATCGTTTGTCTATTTTTTTAATGGGCAAATTAATAAAATGGATATAAAAATATCACTTATTGTAAAAAAAACATTCCACAAAAATAACAACAGAACAAAATGTCTTTGAAATTTTACTACAGAAAATCTTTTCTTAAGAAAGGGGAAGTTTAATTTTCGGCTACGAACTGTACCATGACCCAACAATGAAAAATTAAAATGTCGGGAGTCGTATAAAAATATTATTGTGCGAGCGTTAATTTTAAAATATTTTTTCAATTATTACCCGTTTTAAAATGGCTGACGTATTAAGTTCGGAAAATATAATATAATGATACAAAAACCACATGTTTTAATAGTGTTAATCCATGCTAATGTTATAAATGCGAAAGTAACTCTATCTGTCTGTCTCGCTTTCACTCCAAAACTACTAAGCCAATTTAAATGAAATTTTGTACACAGATAGTCTAGAGCCCGAGAAAGGACATAGGCAATATTTTTTAATTGGAAAAAAGTGTTGTAACGGGTTGAAAGATATTTATTGAAGGGCTTCAAGGCGAGCGAAGCCGCGGGCGAAAAGCTACTGCTAAGTAACGTTAATAATATTTAATAAACACTTAGAAAATATTTCAATTTTCAAAAAAAAAAGCTGTTGCACGATCGTCACTAAAACATATTTGTATTGCCATCAATTGGCTTATGGAGTGCTCAGTGCATTTTGTACGAAACGTTCATTTAAATTTCTTTTTCAAGTTTGACCTTTCACGATTACGCGGTAGTGAAACAATGAAACTATACAATATAAAGTAAACATGACACTATCGCGCCGAAACCGAGACATCCTCATTACGGCAATTAGTGTAATTTCTCATCTTTCAGTCCGATTCCATGTATGGCTAGTGTACTTCAAATGCAACTCTATAGAATGCTCTTTCTTTCCGTTTCATACGTATTAATCTGACACAAACACTTATACAGCGTGCCTTTACGATCGCGACAATAAATGAACACGCATATAGAGGATATATTTTTAAAATTGTGTTAAACACTTACATTCTTTAACATCAATATTGACTTTTTTAGAACACTCTTACGTATAAAACTGTAACGTAAAGCTCATTTGTAAAGGTCAAAAAGCATATGAATGGGTTGAATGTATTTGAAAGAGACAAAAAATACTGTTAGAAGGAGAGGCTTGTAATGCGACGTTGTGGCAACGAATGAAAAAGTGTTGTAGTTGTATAGGATGTTACAAAGTTTGTTACTTTTTTACTTAATTAGTGTGTTTGAAAAAATTTTTTTTTTATTATGGATTTTTTTAACGTTAATATTTTTTTATGATTATTGGCAAGTAGCGTTAGTTGTGTGTTCATTTATTGTCGCGATTGTAAAGACACGCTGTATATGTCATATTATAATGTAAAGTGGAACAAATTTTAAACGCCGCGCAGTATGGACTTGCGTCATTTATATTATTAAACATCATTGGTGCACGTCAGTTATTGACTAATCCAAAGAGATAGCAGTCTAAAGATTTGCAATCTTGTTACACAAATTGGGGTAAATTGAGTGTCTCAATTTTGGTGCGCTAGTGTAATAACTATGGTTGGACCATGCAACAGTGTTCACTGTTGCACAAAAGGGCAGGTCCGTCCAGGTAAGTACCACAACCTCACAGAAGACCGGCGTAAAGTAGAAGTGTTAAGCTTCTGTGATTCGTCTGGTGAGTGAGGTAGCCGGGGACCACTTTATTTAAAGGTGGCGACGCATTTGCAACCCTATGGGTGTTGCAAAAGTTCATGGGCGGCAGGTATCACCTAACATCAGGTGAACCAGCAGCTCGTTTGCCACATTCTCACATAAAGAAAATCTTTTTATATAATAAATATTATTGGTCTAATCTATGAAGCTATCGTAATTCTTACAACTGTCAAACATTTTCAATTGTAATCATAACATTTTAAAATATTCTAATTAATAACTTATTGGAAATATTATATAATAACTTATTGGAAATAAATTAAAATGTAACTTTAATAAAATAGGTAATAAAAGGTAATTTAAAGGACATAACAGTGCAGTATTGCGATACCGTATAACACAATATTTTTTAAAAATATTTCCCTTCAAACCAAGAGGCAACGTTATTTTTTAAATATGAGAAGAAATGCAGTACCAGGAATAAAATTGTTTAAACATTGTTCCAGATATCAATTATGTCGTTTGAATGAATATGTGTTTAATATATATTGTAACGTAAGTCATAGTAATGACACAGTACAATGAAATATTAAGGTAAGTATATCTCTATATTCAAGTTTAAAGTGAATGATTACACTCTTCCTGACGTACAAATTCCTATACACTGCTTGCTGCCACATAATCCCAGGTCTGACATGCAGAAAATTAGAACAGACATGTTCTCAAACATTATAATTTTATTTTAAATAACATTTGTTTACATGCCATTCCAAGCAGCGAACTAATTTACTAATAACAATATTTAGAATGGATGTAGTCATAATTAAAATAATAATGGAGGTAATATTTTAGAATAGCGACAGCTTACAAACATTTTGTAAACGTCAGGTATTCTTCAATAACATTACAATTGAAAAGAAAACATCATTGAAAACTCTCTTCTTGAAAAAAAAAATATTGTTACGGTGCAACATCATACAGTTTCTATAATATGATATTAATTACTAATTAAAAATTCTCTAAAAAATTACAATCTGTTTTAACAAAGCTTTACACATTATCGGCAATGTTAAAACAATACATCAAAAACTAGGATGTTAACAAAAAAAAAGTTATTAAAGTTTTTACTCTTAGCGATTTATCAATTTAAAGTTTTAATTAAAACTATGGAATTTGAAAGACATACTTTGTTAGATCTAAAATTAAACTTTGTTGTCGAAAATTAAGATAAATTAGCATCTGTAATAATAAACATTGAATTTATTGGCTTGATGCTCTCATAGTGATATATCGGTTCGCCGTTGATTAAGCATAATTCTCAGGCACAAATTAACGTGTTATATTCTAGAGTTTAAAAATTTGTAATTATATTAGGCAAACGTAAATCGGCTTTTATTGAGCATTTACCACCTTCAATTGCAGAGCCAATTTCTTCCGATGGTATAGCAAATTCATTAGATTCTGTGAACCCGAGACCATATACCTTTTATAGTAGAGCTTTAGATAATATAATCCTGTAAGTATAAATTAATACTCCTAATATACTGTAATAATACTTATAGTCTCTTAATGAGCCTATAAGGTATATTATATTGTATAGTATATAATATTATAAACAATAATTGTATATAATTGTATACATAATAATAATTGTATACATATATCAATCTAAAGTGAATATCAAATGTAAGTCTCAAGTTTAATAGATAGAAATATCAAAATTAACATTCGTATCAAGGAATTTTGCAGCAAAAAACATGTAATACTTTAAACATTATATGAAATTAAGGGGATAGTTTTGTACAACCATGTCTTAATAAAGTGTCATTATTTTTAAGTTTACTCATTAAATTATTTAAAACACTCGCATATTTATTTTGAATTTTAAATTAAACTAAACTACTACAAAAACGTTTCACTAAATATACAGTAATAATTTTATTATTTAAAAGTTTTACTGCTCAGTTCCGAGTATCCTCGAGTACAATAATATTACAAAGTTATCTACTAGAACCTTTCACTGTAAAAGAAAATAGAATTGCTTACGTCTGTAAACTATTCACACTTATTTTTGGGGAGACCCATTATGAATTGAGAATTTCAATAATAAAAACAAGTTAGATATTATAATGGAAGTATTTCCGTGTTTAATTCAGAATATAACAATTAAATCATTTTTTGTAATTATAATTATATTGGATTAAAAAAACAAAAAAAAACATCATTCTCACCTATAAAAAGCCCAAAAACTAGAAGAACGGACATATTTATAATCAACTAAATATTCATGGCACCGCAAATACGATATAATCAATTTGTTTCTCACATCATTTATTCTAACATAATATTGTCTGTTATTATTTGACGCACACGATTATTCGACGCTAACACTTCCACGACATTAGCCTTTTTTAATATTCCGTACCGTTACTCTCGAACAAAAACGACTTCGAAAACTTGTAAAAATATTGCGATAAGCCTGCGGTTGATAAGCTTACACTGCGGTCTCCACAATGTACGTTCCTCGCAACAGCCACGAACCAACTGCGGGACAGCTTTCAAAGGCAATCCCCCCCCCCCCCCCCCCCTCCCTGCCCGCTCCTGAAACACCCCTAGCTTCCCCTCTCATGCGTCCTTATCGCGATCCCGTAATTAGATAAATGTCATTGCTGTTGTCTGTGAATTTTTTTCCCTTCCCCTTCGAATTTCACCGACCGATGTAATAGACTCGAGTTGTCGGAGACACTCATTTGCGAAATGATATTTGTGTTTGTGCGACTCATTTCTCGTATGTGCGAGAGGTAAAAAGGCGAAAATATGTTAAACTTCATTGATGGCACTCTGCAGGATTCTTTTTCCAACTGTTCTCAAATTTTCCCTTGAGTTATCATTTATTATAAAGTGTTTCTCTTAAATCAGTTCAAGTCTAGAAAATCAGTTGTCAAAAACAGTCGTAAAAAAATCCTACAATAACAAAAGCCTCTTAAAAAAGGTGATTGTAAAAAAACTATATACGTCACGCTATATGTCGCCACAGATGTTATTATGAAAAATAATTTGCCCAGAGAGCCACCAGTCATCGCAGCTAATGCAATTGCTTCTAATTCTTCGTCTCTTTTCTTTAATTCCCACGATGACCTCTATTACATATATCTACCATATATACTACATATGGTACATATTATTTTTGCACCAAAGATAATATGTAGTATCTGATAGCTACTGAAATTAAAACCAAATGGTAACGGTTAAATGGACCTCATAAATAATCTAAGGACCACGCGTTGAGACACAACTAAATGTACGCGTCTGATGTAATTCCTAGTTCCGCTCAAGGGTCGCCGTATTTCAAAATTCGAACATTCTGGTCGCTATCTACGACCATTAATTATTATACATAAATCCATAATTAAACTACCATGGACATTTTGTAAGATTTCGTAGTAACTGATTACGCGTTAAACCGCATTGATTTCATGTGTTTGCTTGCGTTTAGATTAATTGAGTGTGTAGTGAAGAGTATAATTTTATTGAATGGTCTACAACAAAATAATGATGGCTTTTAAATGAAATCACGAGGAGCATTTCCATTGAGTATAATCTCCATACAAGGTACTCATAATGATACAAATTTTATTCGATTCATTATATATAAAAAATATTAGCGTTTGCAAGGCGCAACTTAAATTCCAACAATTATAAATATCCCAAAGGGTATTGAATATGAGCCACGATATTCTATCACCTCATTTATGACAAAGGCAAAGTCAATTTTGATAATTCAATTATGATTAAATTTATACCGGAGTAGTGTTTTAATGTTTACTTGTAATTTTATAATAATACTTTATTTATATTGAACAACCTCTTGCATTTCGTGTACACAAAAGGAGTGGACGGACAAACTTCATTTTACGAATCTTATTTAAAAAAATACAAGCCATGGTGACTCTTGGATGGCCGAAAGGCGCTCCAACCTCCTAGCGACAATACTACTGTAATACAAATGATTGTTGCAATACACTTATTAAGAAGAAATTAAAAAGAAAAAACAAAAAGACACGTGACAACGCTATCGACAAAAATCGGCTAGTGCTTGTCTACTATATCACCTGATGTTAAGTAAAGATGTCAACTCTTAAACAACTAAAGCACTAACTCAGAAAGAGCCTATTCACTTTTACTAAAAACACGGAGATAATTTATTTTTATTTACATATTTATTTTTATAAAAAAAACAGTCTATAAAAACATATTAAACTGATACAAACATAAACTCAAAAGAGTTTTACCGTGTATCAGTATCATCAATTTGAATAATAATTGTTAATACAGTAGGTCGATACTAATATGAGTGAACGAACATCGGTGAACGCGCTGGGAGTCTTTGTCAGCATAAAAACAAAGTAGCGTGAATTTAATGTAACGTATTTATATTTACATATATTTTAGCATTTTTAACTTTAATATTTTTTTTTTATTATAAGTCAGGGATAGACAGTCTGGATATTTATATTGAGATAGGTTTGCGCCGGAAAGGATCATTAGAACATTTGGATTGGGAGGATTGCGCTAACCCTGAAAAATATAGAGATTAAGGGATCAGTTTGCAGGTCCAGCGTGGTTGCTATTCTTTGGTGTAGACTGTTAGCGACAGACTTGTTAGCACCAGAGGCAAATCAGGTTCACCAGCTTTTATATATCTGAAATACCGTCCACTGGCTTTTTACACGTCCAGATCCTCACAGTTTTAAAATTGTTTTTTGTAATGTGTACCTTGGATATAAAGAAACCAGCATCTCTGTCTGGAATAAGTGCAAACACTGAACAAATGTCACTCTCTGAGGAAAAGGCCTAGAGTCGTTGACTATACCCTGATGACCACCTATACATGAATATAAAACCTATACATTGTATGTGTTTAAACGCAATTTATTCCATAAACGTGCAAGTAAAGCAAAAAGAACACAAATTATATTCTGATTTATAGGCATTCTAGATTCTATTATCAAATGAAAAATAGTTCCCTCTGTTCTATGGGATTATCATAAAAAGACCGTTACAAAGTACATAAAACTGTGCTTCACTTTATTGACATTGTCACTAGACACTTTGGTAAGCAGCATTTTCTTAACGGTTCTAAAAATATGTTTGATGCCATAATAAACAACAGCGTCCTTTGAAGTAATGCAACACTATTTTAATTCTTGGAAGAACAACTGAATTAAAGAAGAAGAATACATACATACATACATACATGTAAGAATACATGAATTGTTATATATATATATATACTTATAATAAGACTTTGTCATTCTTATTAATCTAACAACTATTTTCATAATTGTAATTTTTACGTGATATACATGTATACATATACATTTTATATTGCTTAAGGAATTCCTCAACAAGCGACAGTAGAAATAGCTTTATGGCTTTTTCGAGTAGCTTGGCGCAGATAAGATCCTCGCGAGAGCAATTCGAACCACTAGCTTTTAACTTACTTTCTAAATGCACTCCCGTTTTAAGTACGAAAGTGGCGCTGTTGTTATATTATATTGTATTATTAAAATGAAAGTTAGATTTTTACAAGTATATAGAATGGTGCCGATCTATGATGATGTATACTATCACCGTAAAGAGCATGTTATTGAAATTCAACTCTTTTTAAGCGTTTTCAAATTCTACTCCAAGATCTCGCTCGATGCTGTAGTAAGATTTAAATTCAAACAACAATACTTTAGAATCAAAAGAAAGAACATTAAATTAATAAACACTAAGAGATTTTTCTAGCTAAGGTAAGACAATTTTATATTATTTTATGCATGATCAATTGTGACTCAAATTTACGTTTTGAAACTTGATAGTGTATCATCAAATGACAAGCTAAAACAACGAACAGCTTAAAGAAACTATTTCAATTTGAAGTTCAAAAGGAATTTAAAGAACGCGTTACGAAACACGAACCGCAGTCGTGAAATAACCATCCATTAGAAATCTAGCAGTGATCAATTGAAGAGATGTTAAATTCGGGACGATTCAAAGAAAGCTCTAGTAAGGGGCTCTAGCAAAGCATCGTGACCAAAAGGTACCAGTAACTGCTGTCACCTGAACATTTTGTAACGCGTGCAATCAATCTAGTTGGCGTTGAAGTGACTTCCCGATCGCACGTATTACAATTTAGTTTCTATTTTATAATTTTTGCAAACAAAAATTAAATTCGCCATACTTTTCTTACATCTTTATAGGTATATATAATTCTTCTGTACGTGTGTATGTCACTGAACTCCTCATAAACGGCTGGACCGATTTTAATAAAATTTTGTGTCTCTTCAGGTCGAATTGAGATTGGTTTAGATTCACAATTCGGACCACATTTTTTTATTTATAACTTGTTTCGAATTTCAGTCGTGTTCACCTAGCATATTATGTAACACAACATTTTTCATAAAATGCATAAAAGCTTTTATGTGAATTGAGAGTCTGAATCATGAAATGGGTTTAATAAAATTTATTTTAAGAAACTACGATAAAAACAAACTTCCGGATTCCGTACACACAGAAAATTTGTCCTTGTTTCAAGTTGAATAATCGCGCAGCCTTAATACTCATTTCACTAACGTCACGCCATCTATCTGGGCGCCTTATTTCACCACAATCCTCGGTCCGTCCGTATGTCCTTCGCAGAAGAGGAATTTTATTAATTTGACTGATTTATGTTTAGCCCTACTTGCCTCATCAATTTCGCTGGACTTCAGTTATGTACGTCAAAGTCTATGTCTAAATATCTTTATTATATAAGGTCGGTTTCAAGCTCTTATTAATGTAACCAGTACTTTACAAGACAAAACCTGAAAATGACGAGTGATATATTTTAAATAGCGAATTATAAAACCAGCGATGGTCAGACTTATGGCACATTGATGTAATGTTATATTAATATACCAACATCATATCTATAGACGGAATACTCGGGATCACCTACATGGGGAGTCAAACAACTTTCTACAACGCTTACAAAGTAAATTTTTGTATTTTTCATGGGTACATACATATTCTTCAAGAGCAAGTTCTTTTGTGCAGTTATTCATTAATATATATAACGGAGCAAATTTTTTAACAATGATTTATTCCAAAAATATTCAACAATCATACTTATGAAGGCGTTAGCACGTTCATTCCAAAATTGTACTTCACAAATACAAATAATTGCAAAAAAGCTTAGCAAGACTTCATTTTCGGTATATTCTTACACAGAAATATAT